TTATAATGAAAACAATATATTAACAAAATAAAAATTAGACTGTATTCATTCACACTGTATTTGTGTAATGTTATGACTATATGCATTTGAAGTGAACCATTATTTAGCTTAAACCCTTGTAAAAAATGAAATGGGAAATATATGCATCCATCCATCATAATATACAAAGATTAAATAAAATAAGATAATAAATGAATAAAATTAAAATAAATAAATAAATGAATTGAATAAAAATAATAAACTAAAAATTAAAAAAATAATAATTTATTAAAAAATAATTTTAAAAGTAAAATAAAAACTAAAAAAAAAAATAAATAAATAAAAAATAGGTTTTATTAAAAAAATAATAAAGATAAATAAATTAAAAAAAAAAAGTAAAAGAAATAATTTACAAAAAATAGAATCAAATAATATAATAAAAAACAAAATAAGGAATAAAAAATCATTTTATATAAAGATAAAATAAAAATAAATAAAATGATTTAATAAAAATGAAAGAAAAATAAATAAAATACTTAAATAAAAAAAATAAAACAAATAAATAAAATAATTTAATAAAAAAAATGTAATAAAAAATTAATTTGAAGGCTGCACAGTGGTGGAGTGGGTAGCACGTTCGCCTCACAGCAAGAAAGTCGCTGGTTCAAGCCTTGGCTGGTCAGTTAGCGTTTCTGTGTGGAGTTTGCATGTTCTCCCCGTGTTGGCGTGAGTTTTTCCAGGTGCTTCCGTTTCCAAAGTCCAAAGATATGCGATACAGGTGAATTGGGTGGGCTAAATTGGCCGTAGTATGTGAATAAGTATGCATGGGTGTTTCCCAGGGATATGTTGCGGCTGAAAAGAAAATGAATGGATGAATGAATGAATTTAATTTATTAAAAATTATAAATAATAATAAAAAATTATAAATAAATAAAACATAAAATAAAAAAATAAAATAATTTAATATAAAAAATAAATTAAATAAAATCATTAAATAATTTTTTAGAAATAAAATAATAAAATAAAATGACAAAAAAATTAGATATAAAAATAAAATAGTATATCAACATTAATAAATGACAAGCCCACAAAAGACTGAATTGCTAAAATGTTCAAATAAAATGAAAGCAATTTTTAAAAATGTGCGAAGTGTAAAAACTATTGATAGAAATTATAATGGTATCTCATAACTAAACACTACTAAGACTAATATGTATTGAAATTACACACATGCATGCATACATACACACATACTCAATAGCACATTAAAACACTTTTGTTGTTGTGTTGTTATCAAGTCAATAGCAAATCTCCCTCTCTGTTCACACACACGCGCACACACACAGTTCTCAATCAATGAGAGCTGTCACTGTTGATGCTGTCATGCTAATTAATGTATTTATTAAAGGAAAATGAGGTTAATTCACAATCATTGTGAAGCCATTAACCTGATGCCCACAGAGACAGATGCGGGAATCACTGATGCTGAGATCATCGTGTGGCCATTCTTTCTGCATTCATAAGCAAATATAGGCAGACTGATAAATGTATTTGGTTTGTAAATGCACATTCTTGATTACGTCTCTCACTAGAAAGGTATTCGAGGATTGTTGACCCCCATGCTATTTGCACCGAGGAGCACAGCTGCAAACATCTGTCCTGTCAGTCAAGCTTTGGTGGACTCTGATTGGATAGAATGCATGTCAATCAAACTGTTTAAGCCAATTAGAAGTGCTTGATGTTTTTGGTAATTTACATTTACATCTCTGACATCCACATGTGCTTTAGAAAGATTCAAAGGAAGCAGATAATAGTGTGAGTAGAAACATTTACTCTTGATAATGTATGAAAATTGAGTGTGTCTGCGAGTAGTCTGTGTCGCAGTTAAGATTTGCTTTAGTTTTAGTTTTATTATGGTTATTTGCTGAATATGTGTTACTCTGTACTTTTAGTATTTGAAAAATATTTTAAATAGATGTTATGAATTAAGCTTTCTTTATATTTGCATACGCTGCCAATTGAAGGTTTTGATTAGTATTTATTTTGACAGAAATTAGTAGCTTTGTTAATCAGAGATTGATTTATTTAATTGAAAATGATGGTAAATATTGGGGCTACACAATATATTGTTTCAGCATCGATATCGCAATGTCCGCATCTGCATTAGTCACATCACAAGATATGCATTGTTGACAATATGCAATGTTTTAGTTGACCAGGAGCCACAGAGTCACTGCCAAGTTTAACCATTATAGAGTAAGGATTCTTTCACACTAGCACTTTAGGTCCGCACCTGGGTTCATTTGATGTCAGAGTACGGTACATTTAGCTAATAACTGAAGTGAACCGTCAACAGTACGACAAACTATTGTTTTTCATATTGTTTATTCGTGTGTGTTTGTGTGTGTCTGTGTATCACATACTGGTGAGAAGCGGACCTGAGCCACTGCAAGCACAGTGATAATGTTTGCTTGTCTCCTCTAGAAGCTTCTGCAGACCAAGGTTTTTAATAGTTTTGGATTTTTCATTAGTTTTAGTTTCTATTTCGTTTTGGCTGTTAGTTTTCAAATTCAGTTCGTTTTAATTAGTTTTTAGAGGCAGATTTACTAGTTTTTATTAGTTTCTATATTTTGAAATGATTTTGTTTTTTAGTTTAGTTTTTATTATTTTCAGTATTAGTTTGTTTTTTTCTAAATAAGGATATTTGTTAGGTGCAAGATTCAAAATCAACAAAATAAATATTGTATAATAAAAACTCAGTCATTCATTTTTTGAAATGTATTCAGAGGACACATGAACATTATCATCTACCACTACTATCTACCCATCCTCAAACTCAAATACAACAGCCTACAACAGCAGCCTTAAGTACAATATGTGTGCAAGGCTGCTTCTGAGGTTAGATGCACAGTAGTGATGGGAAGTTCAGATCTTTAACGTTGATGTTAGGACTCAACATTATGTAGTCAGTAATAGTAATTTCAGCCAGTTAAAACATCAACCGCTTCTCAAATTTGATCTCAGTGTAACGTTACTGTTCCAATAACTGCATATATTTATTGGATTATTTAGACTCAGAGGTGGGTATTACCTTGTATCACCTAGTAATGGCTGTAAACAAAACAGCAGCTCCATGACGCAAGCATATCGGGGTTCAGAAGGAAAAAGGAGAGTGTGAACACAAACCAACCTAGGAGGTGGCAATTGGGGACAATCAAACTTTGGTACGGTCCAGGCAATTGAACCATGTGTGAAAGCACCCTCACACTAGCTAAACGTACCATACTCTGATGTCAAACGAAACCGGGTGTTAACCAAAAGTTATACACAAAAAATTAAGACCATTTGAAAAATTTTAATTTCTCTGGATTTATTACATACAGTTGAAGTCAGAATTATTAGTCCCCCTGAATTATTAGCCCCATATATATTTTTTTTTAACAAAGTCTAACAGAGAGAAGATTTCTTCAAAACATTTCTAAATATATGTTTTAATAACTCATTTCTAATAACTGATTTATTAGATCTTTGCCATGATGACAGTAAATAATATTTGACCGGATATTTTTCAAGACACTTCTATACAGCTTAAAGTGACATTTAAAGGCTTAACAAGGTTCATTAGGTTAACTAGGCAGGTTAGGGTAATTAGGCAGGTTATTGTATAATGATGGTTTGTTCTGTAGACTGTTGTAAAAAAATATAGCTTAAAGGGGCTAATAATATTGACCTGAAATGGTTTTTAAAAATTAATAACTGCTTTTCTTCTTGCCGAAATAAAACAAATAAGACTTTCAGCAGAAGAAAAAATATTATCAGACATACTGTGAACATTTCCTTGCTCTGATTACCATTATTTAGGAAATATTTAAAAAAGAAAAATAAATAGGGGCTAAGACTTTACGTGTATGTATGTATGCATGTGTTTTTTTATCCGTTAAAAATAGTATTATTATTATTAGTATTATTATTATTATTATTGCTATCATTATTTTTATACCTTTTAAAGTTATGATAGAATTTCTTGCAAATTTTAAACAAATTTAGCCATTTAAGCATTTCCTTACCAAATATTGATTCCTTAACTCTTCTTAACTTCTGAATTAAAACATATTTGGAAAAAATGCTGTCAGTAGTGTACAAAAGAAAACAAAAACAATACTGAAACTCTTAACTATGGATCAAAAATCCAGAGAAACTGAGAATTTAAAAGTAGCCTCTTAATTTTGTTCATTGCCATACAGGACTGCATGATGTTGTAAAAGTCTAACATTGCGATATTTTGTTTTTCTGCGATAAACAGTATACTGCGATATTAATATAATTTTACCAGATGATTTTAATTAGCTTTATTTGGAAAGATTTCCTTCTTTTAGATCAACTGGGAAGTCTTTTTCTATGCTGTGCATTTGCATAAATTATAATAAATTACAAGCAAAAATAAATAAATAATAATAAACAGTACTTTATGGTTCCCTGGGCAAGTCTAACAGCATTTAAGTTTAGAAAGTGAACAATCAAATGTAAAATAACATTTTCATCATTGTATAAATGATTACAAAACAATATTATATAATAACATCCTTATTTTTTTATATTTAATAATCTAATCCTGCGATGTGACTATTGCAGATTACACGCATTGCGATCTCGATGCTCAAGCGATATATTGTTCATCCCTATAGCTATATACTATATATGTAAATATAAATGATGTCTTCTTTTGCTTCGGTGAGAGCAGCAGTCAAGCTGACATGATTGTATTATAAGCATGATTAGAGAATGATTTAGCTTGCATGGGTTTCCTCTCACCACTTTTTGGAGCAGCTCTACAGACGCACGCACACACACAACCTGATTTTCCCTAGACAGTCTTTTGCCTTCCCATCACAGAGGTTTCATTACCCTTGCAAAACTGCTACTTCTGCAATACGGGCAATTAGAGAGCGTTCCCTCCCTTTGAGACACACACACACACACACACACACACACACACTGATGTGTTTGTCTGTCTCCTGCAGGCCCGGACTCCGCGCGGCGCTGCGGGGTTGCAACAGCAGTCTCTGGGCGAGCAGGTAGGAGGGCGAGTGTGTTACGCATCCGCCGAGAGTTTGGAAAGCATGGCGGACGCTGAGATGCCGCTGGGCTTCAGCCGCTCAAACATCCTCAGGCAGAGTCTTCCACTCGCACGGTCGCCCAGCCAGGCCAAACTACGAGCACCAGGTATCCCTATTAGCCTTATTTATTCGCACAGTTGAGTCTATTAGGAGCAATCATGTTCCTCTGGAAACAATGTGCAGTTCTGAATGTGCTTCATGTTGGGGAGTAGGCTTGACAGACCACTTTTAGGAGACCCAGACTGTATACGAAACCTGAAATACTATTAAACAGTGCAGTATTTGAGCGGGAAGCCATTTTTAGTGGTGTTTGAAACCATAGTGGATGTACTTAAGTGCACTAAATCAATCCTACAATGCTTCGCAATAATGAGTGTACAATCAATCAGTGGCGCAAAAAGGGGGTATGCAGTATATGCGGCGCATAGGGGCGCCACACATGGGGGGTGCCATTGTGCCACAACTATTTTTTAAATTATCCATATTAAAAGTTTCAAATAGTATTTATTAATAATTATATATATATATATATATATATATATATATATATATATATATATAGTTAAAAATGTTTATTTAGCATTTTATACGTGTATAATATTGTATTTTATTAAATTACAAAATCATTCCACCCCTCCCCCCATTTTTCATACCATATACATGTTTTTATGAATTTATTATGTATCATATTGATTCATCAGGGCTTTTGGTAACTTTTTAGCTCAAAACTATTTTAATTTTAGCTACAAACAAAGTTATAACATTTCAATTAAATAGAACATTTCACACAGTTTGTTTCTGTTTTTTTTTTTTACACTAAACATTTGACAGTCTTTTTTATTTCACTTTTAGCAGTTTTAGTCAATTGTTCTTGCAAAGACAGACCTTACACTTCTCACAGTATGCATGTGAGAAGTAATCGCAATGTTCTTTTGCCCTTTAGGACTCCCATGTCAATGATTTTGTTTTGACAAATGTAGTACAAAAAGTCCAAAAGCAAGGCTAGTCAAGGTGCTATAATCATTTAGTAAGGTAAAATTAAACTGAGGCGAAATTTGGGCTGGTATGAGATGCATTTCTTTGCGACTTAACATGCTTAATGTAATTATACCTTTTACTTCTTCATACTATTTCAGTTGTGTTCAGAACTGCGAAACTGTATTTTTTGAAGTATATTGATATCTTTATGAAAAAATATCTTTAATTTATTGATGGAAATATTTTCCTCATTTTATCACTTGCCTGTTTTAAAATATAGTTGGATTGAAGGGGGGGCGCGGAAAAGTTGAAGCCGCATACCCATCAGTAAGTGTGCAGTTGCGCCCCTGCACTCAAAAGCTAGAAAATACCCATAATGCACTGTGAGAGGTTGTGCGGCAAATAAATCTGACCACAAGATGGAGTTTACAGCAGAATCCTGTTGGTTTAAGTTCTTAAATAGTTTATTGTTTAATTAATGTTTGTATAAATGACTAAAATCAAAATACTTAGTTGTATTACTACTAGACAGCTCGCTACGTTTAAAATCTAGTCCATCTGAAGGCTTTATCTACTAGCAAAACAAACAAAACATTTAGATTTAGTTGACTGAAGTGTAACATGACATTTTGCCTGCCCCGTCTTTTTGCTTGAAGGGTTCAACAAATAACGTACAGCACTACTAGGGTAATTCTTCAACTACGGGGATTTATGTCCTTAATCATATATCCAAATATATATATATATATATATATATATATATATATATATATATATATATATATATATATATATACAATTTTGTTCAAATTCCTCATTCTTAGTCAAACTAACAATAAAATCTACTTAAAAAATGTACTAGCTTTCTATTATATATATTTCATATTATTCAACCTCCTTTTAGGTGTCAAAATCACTGTTTTTACCTTGTCGTACACCCAGAGCTTTAAACTTCAACAATGAAAATAAATTTTTTTAAATATAATATTTATCTGGTATTTAATAATGTATCCTAATTAAGCACAAGTGAAATAATTTAATTGTTTTATAGTTATTAATGTGAGACTATTATCAATATTATTTTTTACGAAATATAGCTGTCGCACATTTTTCAGTGTCATTTCCACCACAACACTGTGAAGTCGCTTTAAAAAGCTTGTGTGAAAGATTATTTTGGTGGTTTCAATGAAAATGAATAGTGCCATCTGAGAACATGTTCAAGATGGAGGGAATTGACATTTTTATCTACAACACTTGAAGAAAAATCAAGGTAAATATTGCTTGATAAGGAAATACATTTATTCTACGTCATTTCCAAACATGTTGTTCCTTCAAAGGTGTTTTTAAAACCAAACAAAATGAAGGTAAATAAGAGTGGTTTGTATACATGAAAGGCTATTATCAATTTAAAGCTAATCGTTGAAGCTAATTTTCATTTTTTCACAATAATCTTTTAAAATGTCATTTCCACATATTTAAAAAGTTCTCATCACACATTAAAAGTGTATTTACAATGCATAAGGGTGCTTTCACATCTGTAGTTCGCTTCATTTGGTCCGGACCAAGGGCAATAAATGATACCTTGTTGCATTTTCTGCCGGCTTTTGTGTCATTTTCACACCACACTGCTGGCTTTTGTCCGAACAAGTTGAAAAGAACCAAAATGCAGTCATGTGACAAAATCCACTTCTCTCATTGGCCAGATGTTGCTAAACATATTTCCTAAACTGCTTATCGGTTGGTCAGAATTCACGTGAGGCAAAATGCCAATGAACTCCCGCTAGTAAACAAAACCGACAGACACAAAATGTCGCTTTTTACTATTAAGGGACAACTGCGCTGACTAATTGTATCCCTGCTTTAGACATACTATATATTTCGATAATGAAGCACGGCCGCGGCTGGAAAACAATGTTTTAATGCATCGCACGTCACTTCAGGAGGAGGCGCCTTCAGGCCTTCAGGAGGAGGCGTGAATTAATTTAGCTAAACTGCGACATATTACCAGCGATCCATCAGGTAATGTTTTCCCCTCTCTCTCTGTTGGTAAAGCGCTGTCAACAAATATTTTTCCTCCATATTCCATAATGCACAGCGCATCGGCCTATTGCAGCTGGATTAGTCCAAAAGGCGCAGTACTTTTTGCGGTTTGGTCTGTTTTAGTTCGGATCATATTCTTACCACAAACTAACCACTCCAGGGTTCGTTTGAAACCATACCAAGACCACCTCTTCAAGCAGATCTCGGTACAATTTTTTTGTCTGCTTTTGGTGCACATTAGAGAACGATTGCAGCATTCTCATCTGCCCAAATGAGCCGCACCAAGAGGGAAAACGAACTCTAGTGTGATTCAACCCAACTAAATAAGGCAGGTGTGAAAACACCCTAAGTTCATGCTCTATTTATAATATACAAATTCAGTTTATTGAATTTCTAATAAGCTCTCAACCAAATTAATATAAGTTTTTAGAGTATGACAGGTGAACAATTCCGCATACAACTAATTTATTTTATGGAGAAATGTATAATTATTGTATATATTGTGAAAAGATTGGTTAAACTAGATACAAAAATGATCTTAGACAATGTTTGACTGCCACCATTTATTTAATTTTAAAATAAGCTGTATATTGAGATGTGGTGGAATTGACATTTGTTCAGTTCACGATGGAAAAAATGTTTCTCTTATCTAAGTTTGTCCTCTTACAGATCTTAAAACTAGACAAAATGTTTAAACCTATGAGGCTGTTACGGTAATTTTGAACAAGTTTTTTTTACTCAACTTCACAAGGCTAAAAGTGCCCGTAGTTGAAGAATGGCCCACTACCATTACAGGCAAGTGTGCGCTGTTTTAATTCACTTACTTTTTAATATAACTTGGTGCAATTATAACTCGCAATAAAAAAACGACTGAATGTTTTTAATATTAAATGTATTGTTTAATTTATGTTTGTATACATGACAAAAATCAAAATACTTGGTTGTATTACTAGTAGACAGCTCGATAAGTTTAAAATGTAATCCGGCAGATATTGAGAAAAAGCCCCAATCATACCCAATCGCCTCCGTTTTCAGATGTCTCCGTTTTTCACTACCTACACTAACACAGAGCAGCAGCGTTTCTAAAATAAAAACGGCCTCTTCATTGTTTCCAAAATGCTCCATTTTCGGTGCTCAAAAACTCTGGCGTAGTGTGGACAGAAGTCGTAACCGTAGCAAAGCTTATGTGTTTTAAAATTAAAGTGTATAAGTGTAAATGGGGCCCCTGTTACTTCAACAACAACAAACAAAACATTTACATGTGTTTAAAAGCCTTATCAGTTTAAACTCCTTTTACTAATCCATTTTACAGCTAGTGCCTCAGTCACTCCAACAACAACAAACAAAACATCCTCATGTGTCAGTTTAAACTCCTTTTACTAATCCATTCCTTTTGTCTTGTTTCCAGCGGTGTTGTTTTTGCAGTTTGGTGATGAGACGCGGCGCGTTCACATCACTCATGAGCTGACTAGTATGGAGACGCTCCACGCCCTGATCGTGCACATGTTCCCTCAAAAACTGACGATGGGTGCGCTGCGTTCTCCCGGTACAGCGCTGCTCATTAAAGACGAGGCACGCAACATCTTCTATGAGCTGGAGGACCCTCGTGATATCCACGACCGCTGTCTTATCAAGATCTACTGCAGAGAGGCTCCGATGCGAGACACGCACTACAGCGCACAACACACAGCACACCCCGTACACCACGGACACATCGCCAATGGGGACCTGCGGGTGAGCCAAAAACTGGTGGCTGTTGAACTGTTTTAGTTATTTTTTGTTAGATAAAATATTAATGTTAGTTAAAAATGGGTGTTTTATGCAAATTAAGTTTTTTTTTTTTCATCTCGCTCTTTGTTTTACTTGACCTCAGTGCTGCATTTGACACTATAGATCATGATATCCTCTTAGATTGTGTAAATTATACAGGTGTCCAGGGACAGGGTTTATGTTGGTTGTCAAAAGTCAGCTCAGTAAAGTATGGAGTGCCTCAAGGGTCGGTATAAGGCCCTTTGCTATTCACAATATGCATGCTGCCCCTGAGAGAAATTATTAGAAGACACAGGATTAGCTTTTACTGCTTCGCAGTTACTTATATATTTCGACAACATCTGATGAGATATCTGAACTAAGTAAATGTGAAAAAGAATGAAAGCGCAGACTCGTATGGTTATTATTATTAATACAAAGCTATTTTATTCATGTTGCACATTGTCTATTATACTTTATGAAATTGTGTTTGTGTGTGTATTATATACATTCTTATAAAATATTATAACCCATTATTACCCATTATTAATAACCCAGGTTATTATAGTTAACGAAAGTAAAGAAAAAACAAAACTAAAATATAAAATAAATGTTGTTAACTTAAATAAAAATAAATACGAGATATGAGAATACGAGAGTTTTTTTTTAAACTAGAACTAACTTAAACTGTATTGTCTTCATAAAAAACTAACTGAAACGAACTAAAATTGCAGCAAAAACCTCCTTCTTTTTCGTCTTTGTAAATGTATTTATTATATAATCTTACTGTAGGCCATTTAGAAGTGAATCTAATTCGTACTGCAGGTGTTTGACCCGTATGCAGAGGTGGGTAGAGTATCCAAAATCTGTACTCAAGTAAGAGGACAAGTAATTGCTGAAATTTTTACTAAAGTAAAAGTAACAATTTTAAAAGTTACTCAAGTAAGAGTAAAAAAGTACCTTATGAAAAAATTACTCAAGTAAATAGTCACTTAGTTACTTTTATTTATGTGTGTGTATATATTTATATATATATATATATATATATATATATATATATATATATATGTGTGTGTGTGTGTGTGTGTGTGTTTGTGTGTGTGTATGTGTGCATCATTAGATGTTGATTTTTGGTTGATTTTAGGTTGACACTTGGACAATGACTTCAACATGACGTTGAGTTCTGACCATTTGTTCATTTCCAAACAAAATACAACGTCCCCACAATGTTGGGGTACAATGTCAATCTCACGTCTTGTTGACGTCTTGTACCTGCTGGATGTTTAAGGTCATTGTGGTCATCATACACCAAATATCCATCATCTTCTCACCAGTGACATGCATCTAAACAGTCTCTGGGTCATTGTGTGTAAAGATTTTGGACAACTTCTTGGACACTTTTAATGCTTCCAAACAGTTTGCTGCAATTATAAGTCACCCATGTGTTGAGGTAGTTCATTATGATGCGATTTACCTTCGTGTGCGATTTGATTGGAATCACAGGACTGTTTTTCTAATCCACATAGAAAATAAAATTAAGTAGTGACTGCAAGATTGGGGAAAGTAGTGGAGTATAAGTACCAATACAGCACTAAAAATGTATTTGAGGGAAAGTAAGGGCCTACTCACACTATGCCATCTGTACCCAGGCCCGTTTCCCGGATCGTTTGAGAACTGTGAGTGTGCTGAATCGGGCTCAAGCACGGTTCACTTGGCCGGCCCTGGCCCGGTTGGAAGAGGTGGGCCTGAGCGCGGTTCACTTGGGCTTTGGTGCGGTACGCTTGTGTGTGAGTGCAAAACGCACCAAAGCCCGAAACTGAAAGCGAGACGTGACTTTTAAGGGATTGTTTCATATAGATTTATTAATCATTCCCTAGTAGTAAAGAATTCTGGCCCAGATTTGGCAAAAAGCTGGCACAGCAGGCATTCATCCGGCACTGGCATACAGCATGTGGGCCAAACACGGCCTGGGTTTGGCAGAGGTGGCACCGTTTTTAAGGCGGCACACAAGATTTGAGCCAGATGAAAAACGTAGTATTTGGCCCAGATTTAAAAATTTGATAAGTGGGCCATGTGAGTTTGGCCAGTCTTGACCCACATTTAAAATACACTAAAATCATTTTTGAGTAAAGAAAAAAAATTCTACCAATCAGGTCACTTTGAGAAAAAGCGTGCCCATAGTGTGCCTAAAGCGCATCACTCCATGGGTTTATCAATTTTATTGCAATTGTGACACACCAACCTATCTGGCCCAGTTCAGGCCCAGTTATGAGTTATTAACTTGGCTGAGACTTGGCCCAGATATGGTCCGTGTTTGGCCCTTGTCTGGAAGCCAGATATGGTCCAGTCATGTACCGTAATTCACTGCGGCATGTGGGCCAAGCAAAACCTGATTGTGTGGGCCAGAGAAACTTTGCTATGTGGGTTATTACAGTTTAATGAACACAAACTGCCGTAGTTTATTAAAGACGCAACACCCCTCACTGCACGACAGCTGCGCACCTTCAGCAGACCTCCTCATTGCTGTAGCACGAGGGCTTTATGACTGTTTATGAGCGCCAAAAGAGGCGAATCTGTTTGGCGAAATATCTTACTGCGTGTCCCCACATCCCTAAGGACTGTTTGGCGAAATATTTGACTGCATGTCACTGCATATCAAACGACTAAAACGATATAACTAGAGAAATCTCCTCTTGTGCTGAGCGAGAACGCTTCTCACTGAACGGAGCGCAGCATCGATGACGTAAGCGTGCCGAGGCCCCATTGTATGTAAGTGCGGGCCGTTGGGGGAGACGGGAGGGGGGACAAGTGTGCTTTGGCCCGGTTCGAGGCAACTGTACATAGTGTGAGTTTGGCCTAAAAGTCCACATTTTTAAAACCACTTAGTACATTACAATTCTTAAGAAAAACTACTCAATTACAGTAATTGGAGTATTTGTATTTTGTTACTTTACACAACTGAAAATTAGTTATTAAAACTGTTATGTTGAAAAATCTTCTTTCTGTTAAACAGAACTTGGGGAAAAATATACACACTGCAAAAAATGCTTTTCTTACTTTTTTGTCTTGTTTCTAGTCCAAATATCTGAAAATTCCTAAATCAAGAAGAATTTTATAGACAAGCAAAACATATTGTCTCGTTTTGAGAAATAATATGCCAATAATAAGTGAGTTTTTCCTTAAAACAAGCAAAATAATCTGCCAATGGGGTAAGCAAAATAATCTTACGTCAAAAGAAAAAACAAGATTATTTTGCTTACTCCATTGGCAGATTATTTTGCTTGTTTTAAGGAAAAACTCACTTATTATTGGCATATTATTTCTCAAATCGAGACAATATGTTTTGCTTGTCTATAAAATTCTTCTTGATTTAGGAATTTTAGATATTTAGACTAGAAACAAGACAAAAAATCTAAGCAAGAAAAGCATTTTTGCAGTGCAGGAGGGCTAATAATTCTGACTTCAACTGTATCTAGTCATCTGTCATATGCATTTAACTTCTGTCTCTCCATCTCCTCAGAGAGAGCTGGTTTACACCTCAAGGGAATCGTCTCCCACGCGCCGCTTAAACACACTCCCGTCTTCCTCTCCTCCGTCTGGTTCTCCATCACGCTCACAATCCCGTCTTTCTTACACCGGCGGACGCCCATCTTCTTACGCCGGTCCCCATCAGTCACCCCAGCTCCACGCCTACCAACACCATGGCCACCCTGGAGGCCACGCCCCTCAGCAGACAGGCCACACTCACCCTGGGTTTTGCCCCTCCCCAAGTGCCATTCTAGAACGCCGTGACGTAAAACCAGACGAGGAGATTTCATCGTCATCAAAAAGTGTGGTGTTGCTAAAAAACGAAGCGATATACGCGGATCCGTACGCTCTGGTTCAGGATCCACGGCTCAGTGTGGCCTCTCCTCAAGCTCTAGCGTACCGTCGGGGATCAGTGCGCTCTATCGCTGGCTATCCTGCCGCGGCTTTACAATGCGAGCTGGAGGGCGCCCTCTATAGGCCTGGAAGTGCAATATACGCAGATCCGTATGCTACCATGGGTTTCCGCACTCTGCCTCCTGCCTCACCTCAGAAACTGTCGGATGGCAGGGATCCATATGGGAGTCATCCAGGACGAGGGTCTCCTGGGAGACATGGGTTTCGGAAAGATGGCACTGTGTATATTGAGAGCCCCAAAAATCGTCCAGGAGGGCCTCCACTGGAGCAGATATGTATGCTAGGTGGCCCAGGAGGAGATGGGGGACCGGTGTATGGTTCAACTTTACCTGGTAATGAAGAGACCAGGTGAGAGTCAATTTTGATTAGTTTTTATTATTATTTTATTATTATTTTTTTGTTTGTTTAAACTTATCCAGATAAATGTGCAGTGTGCTTTTTAAATGTGTGATGACTTGAAAACAAGTTGTAAAGATATTATATCATGCATTTTAGTCCAAATGGACTTCAAAAACAGATGATGAACAATAATAATGAATGAATGAGCTAAACAACAACCAATAAGTAAATAAATCAGATTTAAGTCAGATTTAAATAAATGATTAAAATAAAATAATATAATATAATTAAATTAAGTAATATAAATAAAATAAATATTATGAATAAAATAATGTAAATTAAAATAAATAATATTAAATAATAATAATAAAAAAATACAATTAAATAAAAAATGAATTAAGAAAAAAGAAAAGAAATGAAACAAATACATACATAAATACAATCAACAACCAACAAGTAAATAAATCAGATTTTCGTCAGATTTAAATAAATGTTATAAATGTTATAACTAAAATAAATTATTGAAATAAAATAAATAATATAATTTAAAATAAATCATATTTAAAAATAATAATAATTAAAAAATAAATTAATTAAATTAAATTAAAAATGAATTGAGAAATAAATAAATAAATACATACATGCATACAATCAACAACCAATAAGTGAATAAATCAGATTTGAGTCAGATTTAAACAATTAATATAAACAAAATAATTAATATAAATAAAATAAATTATTGAAATAAAATAAATAGTACAATGTAAATTAAACTAACAATAAAAAAAATAAATAAATGATTAAATTAGTTAATAATAAAACATAAAATACATACATACATACATACATGCAGTTGAATTCAGAATTATTAGCTCTCGTGTTAAATTGTAATTTATTAAAAAAAAATCCTTAATTTCAGCTTAGCAGAAAGGTTTTTTCAACACATTTTTAAACATAATAGTCTAATAACTAACTTCTAATAACAGTTTTCTTTAATCTTTGGATGATTTCAGTCTGTATATAA